AGGTCGACGCTCTAGAGTGGGCGACACTAGCTATATAACGCACTAACCTCCTGAATCTCAGACACGACACTCAAGCTAGATATCTCCTCAACAAATGGATTCATAAGAGTGTAAATTGCATCATCACATAATCTGTGGGCGTGAGCCTCCACTAGACTGTCAATAACATCAACCATGAAACACTCGTTATCGTCCTCACGCATTGGTCCTAACCCAGCATTAAACACATTAGTCTCAATTTCCTATTCCCAAACGACACTTTCATCTTTCCAGATCTACAGTTAATGCAAGCATTTGCCGTGCTAGAAAAGGTCTCCCTAAATAATTGGTGGCATACTTCCACGTCGTATACTCCATGTCTAAGACAAGAAAATCCACCAGAAAATATAGTTCTCAACCTTAACTAACACGTCCTCAATTAGGCCCCTAGGCATTTTGACCGATCTGTCAGCTAACTGTAGTATGACTTCATCGACTTGAGCTCACCTAAGTTAAACTGTTCATACACGGAAGTGGGTAATAAGTTCACGCTCGCCCTAAGTCTAAGAGTGCTCTATCAATCGTGACATTACCTATACACAAGAATAATAGGACTCCAGGATTCTTTAACTCGGGGGAATGCGGTTTGAGACAACCGCACTTACATTTTTCCGGTAAATGTACAGTCTCAGATGTGTGAGATTTCATTTTCCTCTTTGCGTGCACAAGTCTTTGAGGAATTTGGCATAAGCAGTACTTGCTTAATGGATCTAAGAGTGGAATGTAATCTGCACCTGCTTAAACAACTCAACCATTTCATCCATCCTAGCGCTTTTCTAGTAGTGGGAACATTTGGGGATGGTTCATTCTCCCTAACTTTTTCCTTACCCGGTCTCTGAACACTTAACTCAACAAGAGGCTCACTCTCACTCTCTTTGGCTTGGTCTCTACCTAGACTTTCCTCTTCTCTACCCTAGACTTTTACTTCCCTCTGGCCTAATTAGCTCTCAGCCGCTCCGAAGAGTCATCACGGCCTTAGCTGTGTTCGGAAAACCCTCTCTGCTGAGAAGAACCACTAGGGTTACCAATGACTTGACTAGGCAATTGGCCTTGTTCCCTCCTATTGACTGCTTCGGCTATTGACCAATCTGGGTCTCTAGCTTACTAATGGATTGGAATGGGAATGTAGAAGTTGGGTATTCGCTCTAAATCCTGGAACCTAGCATTCATGTCGGCTTTTTGTTCCTACATGGTTTGGAGCATTTGAGCCATCATTGATTTCGTGAACTAGACACTGGAGTAGGCTGCTGAATGGGAGGTGGGAACCTAGGTTGGATGGGTGGTTAGATTGAAGGTTGCTCCCTATAATTGCCTTGCTGATTAGAAGGATTGTTCCTGTATGACATACTATTAGGGACATTCTGAGGTGGTTGTGGCTTCCATGAAAAATTAGGGTAGTTACGCCACCCAGGATGTAGTGTTCGAGTACGGATCGCTCCGTCTCTAGAAGCCTTGTGCAACTTGCACTTGCTCCTCAAAGAGTCAGGGGCAGGTTCCTCAACCGATGGTCAAGAGTGGAGGGCATGGCAAAAACATTCTGGTTCGCCTTCTGAGATGATTGTGTAGAGGGTTGCCCTTGTATAGATACAAACTGGTCAAATCGGTGGGCCAACACCTCTAACTTGGAACTAATGTCATCTAACCGTGACATTCTGGCTTCGCCTTGGATGGCTGTTGAGATAGGCATTAGACGCAGAAATGTGGGTCATTGATTTTCACTTAAGGTCTCGAAGAGTTGCCATAACTCATTCTCGTCCTTGTGCATAAATGTTCCTCCACAAGAGGCGTCTACCATATTCCTATGCCTCTCGGTCAGTCCGTCATAGAAACTACAACTAATTGCCACCTAGGGACTGCATGATGGGTACACTTCCTAAGCATTCCTTCAAACATTCACCACTCTCATAAAATTCCTCGCCATCAGTTGAGCGAAACTAGTAATGGCTCGTCGTATGCTGTTGGTTTTACCAATGGGATAATACTTTTTTAGGAATCCTTCTTGCATTTGAGTCCAAGAGATAATGGACCCTGCTGCCAAAGAATTGAGCCACTGTTTGGCTCGATCCTTAAGTGAAATGGGAACAAATTAAGCTAAAACAAATCTAAAATCTAACGAAACTATACTCAATGAAATTTCACACAACAAAATGTTTAATCAAAACTAAATTTATCAATGCAACCTAAAAGAATTTAATACTAAGGACAAAATTAAATCCTAGGAATAAAGAAAAATCAAAGGTTAAGAGAATTTCACAATCAGGACGTGCAGGATTTCAATGCTCACGACACGCTGAAGCGTTTTCCCAATTGCAATTTTCTTGCAAAACAAAAACAAACACAAATGAACTATTCCAATGAAATAAAATGAAAATAAAATAAAACAAAGTAAAAATGAAATTAGCAAACAACCTAAAAAGAAAATAATTAACTAACAATGCAAAGAGACAAACTAAATGGAACAAAAATTAAACAATTCCCCAAACAAATAATCACAAGAAAAAAATATACAAACAAATCAACAAAACAACAAAGACTAAAATAAACCTAGAATAAAAACTAATAACTACCCAAACACACAAAGTCAAAAGCATGTTGCTCCCCGGCAACGGCGCCAAAATTTTGTTAGAACCGATCGTCACGGTCTAAAAATAAACCTAAATACCGTAGTAGCGGTAAGCAGATCGAATCCACAGGAGCAGACTAACAACCTAATGGATTTTAAGTAGCGGAAATGAATGGCAATGGATAATGAAACTAAATAGACTAAATGCAAATAATGAAATAGTGAAATTAAACAAATAAAGACTTTATAAAAAATATTGTCGTTACGGTTTTGGTTCGACACGAGAACCGACTCACACAATTCTCCTCCACTTTACGATCCCCTAACCTACAAGGCAAGGTAAATCAGTGAAATGTTTCCGACACTCTAGTATAATCTATCCTGTCTCCCGATCACTCAGTTCGATTGGTTAAAGACTATCATTGAACATCGATAATGCTACAAGGCAATACCACTGGTTGGTACGCGATTAACAAATACAATTAGTCAACGTAATATCCAATCAACCAACTCCAATAACGCAACAATAGTAGAAATTAAATTAAATCGAACGCAACTCAATTACAATCGATGCGAAGTAATGAAAACAATATTCATCATTTAATTATTCCAAAAACGTTTATCATTCAGCAAGTTCTATGAAAACATTAAATCATAATGGACAACAATATTCATCACAAGTTATGCTCAAATCATATTGAAGTATCGAAATCAATCATGACGAAAAAACAATATAATCGAAGCACAATAATATCAAATGTCCTATAATTGGGCTCATCCAACTAGTCGAGAGCTGATGAGGAGTGTCGTGGAGTCAATCCCGATCTCGCCTATGCCGTAACGACAACGGCGAGCTTAACCGCTCATGTGGTGATGATGAGGCCGAAACGTGGAAACGGAGCTGACCGTGGCGGAGAGGAGGTAACGACAGCGATATGATGCGAAGAAGGGGCGAAAACGATCAACGGATAGCCCGGAATACGAACAGCCGCACTTCGCTGGAAAACGTTAATTTTTCGGCGGTCTTCGAAAACGGTGGCAGAAATGGGATCCGAAGGTACCGATGGAAAGCTCTGGTGATGGGGAGTTCAGATCAGGTCCTGGGGAGGTGAGAATCGTCGGAAAGAGCAGGATCTGGCCTGGAAGACTAATCGCGGATTCCGACGGTTTTCGCGGCGGCTGAAGCTAGGGAAGTGCAGATCGACCGTGGGGAAGGGAGATCGCCCTTGGGGAGCTAGAACGTTATGGAAAACGGCCAAACTGGCCTGGAAGACGAAGAGTCGCGGTGGTGGAAGATGAAACGCCGCGGCTGCTTCGTGATTCGCGGTGGTGGTCCAGGACGATGGGATGACGACGATCTGTGCACGAGGAAGCCGAGGAGTCGCTGGAGGTCGCCGAAAATGGAAGACAAGGGTCGCCAGAAAAGATGATGACACCCCCCTGAAAACGCGAACTGCGTTTTTTTTTACAGAACAAATTGTAAAATATCAGTTGGTCCCTACACAATTGAAAAGTGACAAAATCAGCCCCTTAAAACATGACATTTTACCCCCTAAACAGCATAAATGAGACAAAATCACCCAATCCATAAACCACAACCTAATATCAACTCATACTTTCCAAATCATTCCAAACACGTTAAATTCATAAGAAAATATTAGGAAGCGATTTTCGTGAATGAATTCATAAATTCTTAATTATCTCAATATACTTCAATTTAATCACACATGGGGTATTTTTATCACCAAAATAGAGTCACTTTCATGACTCTAACACCAACTTGGCATATGATAAAAAGATTTTTTTTAGGCCACACTTTTGAAAAAAGCAAATTTTCGCTTGCCTCCATCTTGAAATAAGTTGCGTAAGAAGAGATTTGACTTAATAAACCATTTTTTATATCACCGAGATTTCAGGGGAAGTCACGCTGATCATTATAAACAAAGCAAATTGTGTTCATAGGAACATATAGGAAACTGAAAACTAAAATAGTCCTCCATATTCTTGTTATTCCTTTTCTGCCCAAGGCCATGTAATTCCTTTCCTGGAGCTTTCATTATGCTTAGTTAAGCATGGCTTCAGAGTCACATTTGTCACACACAGATCATACTATAACCGGGTCATCAACGCATTACCGGAAAATTCTATAGGGGATGGAATCCGTCTGTGTCGATTCCAGATGGATTGGAACCCGGGGAGGATAGAAATGATATAGGGAAGCTATGTGCAGCAATGCCGAAGGTGATGCCTGGGAAGCTGGAGGAGCTGAGAAGAGATCACAGAGTGGAAGAAGATAAGCTTGTTTGTGTGATTGCTGATGGGACGATTGGATTTGCTCTTGAAGTTGCAGAGAAGATGAAAATAAGAAGGCTGCCTTTGGCCTGCAGCAGTGGCTACTCTGGCTTTCTTTTACAATATTCCAAAGATGATTGATGATGGAATCATTGACAGTAATGGTAACACGCTCTAACTCGTTTTTACCCTATTCCATCTTCCTCTGTAAACTTTTTGCAAGTTAAAAGTCACGAATCACCGTCTGTTGTGTACAATTTGTTTCCAGGGACTCCGTTCAAGAACAAATGATTCAGTTTGCACCCAACATGCCTGAAATCAACAGTACAAACTTATTGGGCAAACATTGGTGGCGGCGTAGCCCAAAAGATACTCTTTGACTATTTCTCGAAGACCACAGAAGCTGTGAAAGTTGCAGATACCCTTATTGGCAACTCAACCTATGGCTTTGAACCTGGAGCATTCAACTTGGTAAAATATGCTTCCAATAGGACCTCTTTGGCGAGCAACCGACAAGGAAATTCAACAGGATACTTCGGCAAGAAGACTCAGCATGCTTGGAATGGCTTGATCAACAACAGCCTAACTCAGTCATTTATGTTGCATTTGGCAGCTTCACAGTTATAGACAAGATCCAATTCCAAGCTGGCACAGGACTTGAACTCTCCAACAAGCCATTCCTGTGGGTTGTTAGGCCAGACATTACTGATGGTGCCAATGAAGCCTTCCCAGATGGGTTTGAAGAAAGGGTAGCCAACCGTGGGAAAATGGTGGTTGGCGCCGCAACAGAAGGTTTTAAGTCCCCTTCCATTGCCTGCTTCGTTAGCCATTGCGGTTGGAATTCAACCATGGAAGGTTTAAGCAATGGGCTTCCTTTCTTATGTTGGCCATACTTTGCTGACCAGTTCATCGATGAGAGCTACATTTGTGATCTTTGAAGGTAGGATTGCGGTTTAAAAGAGACGAAAGTGGAATCATTACAAGAAGAAATTAAAAGTAAGATAGATCAAGTGGTTGGTGATGAAAAATTTAAAGAAAGAGCTTTAGCACTCAAGAAACTGCCATAGAAACTGTTAAAGAAGGTGGTCAGTCGAACAGTGTTTGAACAAATTCATTGAATGGATCAAGGCATAGGAACTGGCCACAAGTGATGATGGATCATTGTTAGGAAAATAAACATGTAATAACACTAGGAAATCTCTGCCATCACAACAGGGTTTTAATTCCATCGTGTATTTCTTTTTATCATTTATTCGAAGAATCAAAGTCATTGTTTTTAATTTGTAATAGTCTTTTGCATTGCGAGGAATAAGCTCATCAATTCCCTTTTACTTGCTTTGGATCAATCGATCTTAATGGTTTGTGAAACTTTTTCTACTGTTACTCTTGAGATGCCCACCACTACTGCTTCTACTTATTATTCAGACTTTAGAAAGAAGAAAAAGAGGGGTTACAAAACCCTAATAGCTCTCTCCCATCTCTTTCTCCTGAAAACCAACACAGTACGGTGCTCTCTCTCTCTCTCTGTCTGTGAAATGAGTAGAATAAGGACGAGGAAGTCTTTGAAGAAGCATCAATTAATAGTTAAACAGAAGAACCCAGCTTCCAATGCCTGTATGATTAATAACCCCACTTCCTTTCAGAAACAACTTGTGCTACGTGTAGTGCTACAGTTAGGCTTTCTTGTGTTATTTATACATATATTTTTCATTAATACCATAACTTTTTTATGCTCTGCAGAGAAAAAGTAAGAAGGTCTTTCAAGACTAAGCATTCAAAAGAAAATAATTTTTTTTCGCAGACCATGTGCAAGTTAAAAGTCACTGAATCACCGTCTTTTTTGTGTACAATTTGTTTCCAGGGACTCCGTTCAAGAAACGAATGATTCAGTTTGCACCCAACATGCCTGAAATCAACAGTACAAACTTTATTTGGGCAAACATTGGTGGCGGCGTAGCCCAAAAGATACTCTTTGACTATTTATGGAAGACCACAGAAGCTGTGAAAGTTGCAGATACCCTTATTGGCAACTCAACCTGTGGCTTTGAACCTGGAGCATTCAACTTGGTTCCAAATATGCTTCCAATAGGACCTCTTTTGGCGAGCAACCGACAAGGAAATTCAACAGGATACTTCTGGTAAGAAGACTCAGCATGCTTGGAATGGCTTGATCAACAACAGCCTAACTCAGTCATTTATGTTGCATTTGGCAGCTTCACAGTTATAGACAAGATCCAATTCCAAGAGTTGGTACTAGGACTTGAACTCTCCAACAAGCCATTCCTGTGGGTTGTTAGGCCAGACATTACTGATGGTGCCAATGAAGCCTTCCCAGATGGGTTTGAAGAAAGGGTAGCCAACCGTGGGAAAATGGTGGGTTGGGCGCCGCAACAGAAGGTTTTGAGTCACCCTTCCATTGCCTGCTTCTTTAGCCATTGCGGTTGGAATTCAACCATGGAAGGTTTAAACAATGGGCTTCCTTTCTTATGTTGGCCATACTTTTGCTGACCAGTTCATCGACGAGAGCTACATTTGTGATCTTTGGTAGGTGGGATTGCGGTTTAAAAGAGACGAAAGTGGAATCATTACAAGAGAAGAAGTTAAAAGCAAGATAGATCAAGTGGTTGGTGATGAAAAATTTAAAGAAAGAGCTTTAGCACTCAAGAAAACTGCCATAGAACCTATTTTCATGCTCACCCCTAATAATATTCATATTCTCTAACAATTGCTTGCAAGAAAGAAAAATGAACAGTTCATTCCCCAACAGTTCAGCTTGCTTTCGCAAAAATTTAAATTTGAATGAATAAACCTTATCTATCTTTGACCTCATTTTTCACCTCCCTCCTTCAGTGTTAATAAAATATAAAATCACAGCTTTGNTACGCACTCCAAAAACTGGGGGGCTATTGTTGTGCGGTTAATCCGGAGAGGATAATTCCTTATTAGGAGAGAAAATATTTAGATTGGCTCAGTTTGGAAGGAAGATATTCAGGTTGACTGAGACTCCAACTAAGGTAGTGGACATAGGCTCAAGTTCTAACTTGCCGAACCACTTTAAAAATTGTCTTGTGTTCTTATTTATGATTCTTTCTTTTTTGTTCATTACTGATTTTCATTAAATCACACGCACATCAATTCTGGTTCCGACAAGGTCAATCGGCATTCTCTGGTTGGTGCAGATTTCTATATCAACAACGATATAAAGGAAGAGAAGGAAGAAGTTATGGTAAGGGTATTATGATCCAAAAATCTTATAATTTGTTATCAAAAGGAGAAAGCACTATGTAAATGCAATAAATGCACTACATTGTTTATCTGTCAAACCAACAAAATTATGTTATACAATTATTTTAAAATTTACAAATATTATTGTTTGTTAGAATTAAAAAGAGAAATAATATACTAATGACATATATTCATAAACCTGATACATATACGATGTGATACATTTAATACATAATATATTTTCTTGTTATCAATATATCATATAGATAGTTAAAATTAACAAAGACAAAATAATCCATATATGATATGATATTCATCCACTTGATCTATGGATAATATGATACATCTAATGTATGATGGATTTTTTTTTTAATAAATAATATTAATTGTTAGAGTTGAAAAGACATGTAAACTAATACATACATAAATGATATATATTCGGTTGATGCGATTTTTTCGCACCAATGAGAAGTACATAAATCTAATGAGAATTTACGCAAGGGTTTGTAATAAATTGATAATTTAGTGTTGGATTAATGCTAAAGTGATAAATAAATACAAAGAACTGAAGATTTTTAAAGTGGTTCAGATACAAGGTGCAAATCCTAAATCCATTGTTATTTTATTGTTTTTTTTTTTTTTTTAAATACAAGCAATCTCAATCCTCAACACAAATGAGACAGTTTCTATAGCCAGAAAATAGACTATTCAAAAGATCATTTCTTTAGGATGAGAGACCCCCTTATATACTGCTGCTTTAATGGACTTACTGGTGAAGTAACCCTTATAGAAAGGGACACGCGGCCTAGGGTAGTCTTGCACATGAAATAACTCTCCTATGAGGTGACACGTAGCCTTACTATCAGTACAAATTGATTCTTACTAATGAAATAATAATTGATAAACTTACAAGTGAAATAGCTCTCTAACATGGTGAAATGTGGCTGGGTGACAATGCATTCCTGAGACACATGACGTGAAGCCACGATGGTGGATTTACCGCACACAATATATTCATTGATTTGATGCCTAACATCTTGAAGTATTTATATAAGATCGACTTTTCTCCAACGAAAAATGATGGGGATATTTGGAGGAACATTGAACTTGTACCTAAGTTTTGTAATTAATGTCTCATATTCATGTGGCTGTGGAAAGATCAGTGTGAGCCCACCAAGATGCAGAAATGTCACCTTGACTAGTCGTGTATATGCTGATAACTGAGGTACATTGCTTTGAATTGAATGATGGAATGGGGGAATTGAGCAAGCATAGTCAACCATACATCATTGTTTTAAACCCCGGATCAGGGCATGGGTCAACCGGTCCAATCGGTTGGACCGATCACATCAACAATAATTTTATTTTAAAAAAATTACATATTAATCCTTTAAATTTTAATATATTACAAAAATTCTCTTAAAAAGTTTAAATTATTCCTACAATTTTTTTGAATTTTTTTAATTTAAAAATACCCCAAAAAAATTACTAATTAATCCCTAAAATTTTGATATATCTCCCAAACACCCCTATAAAATTACAAATTAACCCTTATAATTTGGATGTCCAACTTTGGTGCCAGTATCCATTTTATTTGCTAGGTTTCATAGGAAAAGCTTTGACAGCGTCAAAGCTACTAAACAGACCACAGGAGTACAAAATGCTACAAAAGCAGGTAAACGTTGGCTTGACAATTGCAGCTGATATAAGCCACCTCTAAGTACTCCATTGAGTAATAGATTCCCCATATCCTTGTCCTTTATCAAATAAGTGTCATCAATAAATTCTATGAGAACAAAATTATCTTCAAGCAATTTAGATACATAAATCAATTTTTTGGTAATTTCAGGCACATGAAGTACTTGTCGTAACAGCAAAAATTTTGAAGAAGCAGTTGTACGCAATTTAATAGAACCAATATGCACTATAGGTAAGGTGTTACCATTTCCAACAGTCAATGTATCTAGACCTTGAAGGCTGAATTGATGTTAAGTCGCTGAAGATTNTTTGGCAGTTTCTCACGAACCGTTCCCATATAAAAGGAAGGTTTTTTCTTTTAGAAAAGGTAACTCACTAAAAACTCACCAAAACGCAAAAGAAAAATACGCTTTCTCTCTCTAGAATTTGGAAAACAGAAATACACTTCGTGGTTTTCTTCCAGATTAATTTTGTTGCTTCAGAGATAAGGAAAAGAGGTATTTATGCTGTGTTAATTCATTGTAGTTCATTTATATACAAATGTGATTGCAATGGTGACTATGACCTTGGGATTATGTTAGGATATATGTTATTCTATGTTATTTCAAAGATTGGTATCAGAGCATTTGGTTTATATATTGTTTCAAATTCGTACTTTCATGTTCAAGCATGTTGATGGTTGATAAATGCAGTTCTGATTTTTTCAAATTTTGTACATAAAAAGTTGCTTTTTTGGTAATGATAATTAGACTAAGAGATTCCTTATGAAATTATGAAGAAAATGGTTTTTGAATCATAAAAAATAGAGTTAAAATGACTTAGATATGCCTTTTTGAAGTTTCAAGTTTCGTATGGGTTAATTTCAGAGTCGGGTACCCAGTTGCAGACCCGGACAGAGGTTGAAGACAACAAGAACCGACATGTTGTTTTTGAACCAACCTTATGAATGGCATGTCGTTTTTCCCGTTTTACTTTTTTTTTTTTTTAAAAAAAAAATTCAAACCAACGTCGTTGGTGCAACTTGAACCCAAGTCTCCTTGGTTGAAGCCCAATACCCTAACCACTGGGCTAATTTTGTTTTTGTGTTAACTATATTCACAAACCTAATATATTCCTATCTGGCCCAACCCATAACCAAAATAAAAAATTGGGTCAAGTTGACCCGTTGACCCGACCCATATGACCAAACGGGTTAGTCAAACCCGACCCATAAGATCAAACGGGTCAGTCAAACCCAGTCAACGCCTAACCCGTAAGAGCAAACAGGTCAGTCAACACCCGACCTGTAAAGTCAAACGAGTCAAACTCGGGTTGGTATTGAACCGATTGAGTGTGGAAACGGGTCGACCCGACCCGAATTTGTATGGGCGCATGTGATACTCTGGCAGCAAGTGGGGGCGCGTGAAAGCTTCTGTCGGCGCGTGAGGGTGCGTGAAGTATTCTAATATTATTTTTTCTTTTGCTGTAAAGAATAAAATTGCATACTTGGTATATTGTTATGAGTCTAATTTTGTTATTGAACCATAAACACGTATATATATTATTTATCAAATATAGTCAACTTTTATTTGATAAATAAATAGTTTTTTTTGTATTTGTTACAGAAAAATGTTACGTTATAGACGTATAATGGTTGTTAGAACACCCGCTCAAAGGGAAAGGGTTATGAACATGATTAGAACTCTACAAACTCACACCTTGATTTTAAGAGACACAGAGGATGAGTTGGTGCAACTCATAAATCATTTCATTCATGTGAATGAAAAGATTCAGGAAATTGTCTGGATAGGGGGATTAAAGGAATATGAGTCGAAATATCAAGTTCTAAGAGAGACTCTTGGTTACGCTAATCTCGTTGGTCTCCTTGATATGGTTTGGACCAAGCTGAAAATTCATAACTTTAAAGATGACAATGAAAATTATAGACGTTTAGTCAACAACTATATCAAGGAGTACATAGATTGGAGTGTGAAAAAGACAGCTGGTGCATCAATAGGAGTCTCCACTCGTAAAGGACATCACAAGAAACTGGGAGTTCCCCTACCTAGGGTTAACTACAAGTTAGATAAAGACCTTAGGATAAGGATTATCAGATCCTTTCCAGTTTTAGGAATGTGGCTGTACACTTAATTTTTTTTAAATTGTTTGTTTTTAATTTCATTACATGTTGAATTCTATTTACATAATGGAATTAATTTTATTTATTAAAATTTAAAATTTAAAATTTTATGTGAATTGATGTTGATTTATATTTATATAATTGTGTCTAAATATATTTTTAGAATTGCAATTAATTATATCTATGATAATTGGAAATTGGAATTTTGGATGATGATTGTTGAATTGTTAACTTTTGATTCCAAATCTAATATATAATTATTATTGGTATAATTAATTAAATGAATATGTATGTTCNTCCTTATCTTTAAAATATAAATTAGAGAGTGAGTTTGACTCTCTATATTTAGAGAGTCAAATTTTACTTTTTATCCTAATTTTAATTAATAAACTACAAATTTCTATAAATTTTATTCATTAATTCTTTCTCTCGTTAAGTTTCTTTCTTAAAAATAAAGAGTATTTTTATTCAATTTAAAGAGTCTATTATATTTAAATAAAAATTATATTTTTTATATTTAAAAATTAATAAAAATATTTTTTATTTATATGAAATATATTTTCAAAATAAAAATCAGATATGCTTTTATTAAACCTAAATGGAATGCTGAGTAAGCATAGTCAACAAGTCAAAATGCTAAAACTTGGCTTTCAACAGTAAGCTCGAAAATCATGTTGCTAAGTCTTCTACAAGTTAAGATCGACTTTTCTTTAACGAAAAATGATGGGGATATTTGGAGGAACATTGAACTTGTAGCTAAGTTTTGTAATTAATGTCTCGTATTCATGTGGCTGTGGAAAGATC